TTAATTGGGGGTGACTGCCGGAATCCTGACAAAATTCGCAAAACCGAGCTGGTCATAGAAACAACCTATTTAATGGGCATTCTCCATTATGTCGGTCATATAATGAGGACTCCCTATAAAATATCCTTTTTTCTCTCTCTTTCTTTGCAGTTTACTTCAGTACTTAGTGGGAATTCTCCGAGACATTTCCCCAACCAGGAGCAGCGGCCGGGAGAGGCGCACGGGGCCGAGTCTTCCAGCGCCAGTTACGCCCCCCAACCCCAGACCCTCCACCTTACATCCCCTCCCTCACCCCCCCCTTCCCCGTGTGTGTGTGTGCGTGTGAGCGTGGCGTTGCGTGTGGGTGTCTTGTAAATAGCACAATTTGTTATTTATACATATACATATATACATATATATATATACATATATATATATACATAAAATATATATATATTATATTATATTTTGTCTGTTTGTAGATTTCTATCTAGACTTTCTATGTGTTGCGGAATTGGCCCCTTTTTCTCCGTGGTTGTTTTTTTTTTTTTTTCCAGTGTCTTGATTTTTAGCGACAAATCTTCAAGGACCAAGGCCACGCCCGCCCGATTCTCACCTCCGTGGTTCCCCCCTTCTCCAATTCGGTGCCCCCCCCCATTTCCCGCCCCTGTCCCTCCCCTCCCCCCGAAAAGGCAATTCCTATCCCCCCTTCCTTTCTCTTCCCACAAAGAGCTGGAATCTTAAAGGATCCCAGCTCGCTCGTCGGGAGAAATTCTCCCTGTTCGGAGTCGCTTCCCCCCGTTTAAGTCTTCTTGGCCATGCTGCTAGTCCTCAGTGTCTTCGGCCACCCTCTCCTCCCACCCTGGTGATCTTCCTCTATAAACCTTATTAACTTATTCGACTCGTACTGCCAGTTTTCTCCCTTAAGTGTCTCCGGGGCGGCTCCCCTGGCGTTGGGGAGTCAATGCATTCCTTTCCGACGGTCGGTCCTGCGTGCGAATCCTCCCGCCGGCCGCGGCGTTTTCCCTCCCTCCCTCCCTCCGAACCACGGCGACTGTACTGCCATTACTTCCCGTGTTGTAGAAACCACTGTTGTTTTTTTGGAGTTGTGAACAACGGCACGGTTGCGATTCGTGACATTCCACTCTCGATTCTTCTCTTTAACGGGGAGAAAGAAGGACCTACGTTTTTTCCACCCCCTCCCCTTTTTAGGACCTGGGTGTATTTTTCTTGCGATCACTGCCTACCTAACCCTGTTTTAAGGAGTTTGTGTGTGTGTGCGCGCTTGTGGGTGCATGCCTTGGGTGTGTATGTGTGACTACGATAAAGAGGAGGAGGGGGACTCCGGCTTGTGTCCTTGCAGAAGACGCAACGGGGGTGGGCTTTTTTTTTTTGCTGAACTTTACAACAACCAGCAGATCTGACGACATAAACTTGAGGTGGGTGGGTGGGGCTTGGTCTCCGGGTGGGGGTGGGGGTTTCTTAGGGTTGACCCTTCCTGACCCGATCCTGTGAACGAAACGAGGGCTGTCGTGTTGTTTTAATCCTGTGGTGAAGTTATAATTTATTGTATTATTTATTTATTTTATTTTATTTATTTATTTATTTTATTTTGTTCTGTCCTGTTTGGAGGCGGTTTAACCTTTGCGAGGGTCTCCCAACCTTGGCTACTTTAAGACTCGCGGACTTCAACTCCCAGAATTCCCCCAGCCAGCCACGTAGGGTTAACTTTTCTTAATAGATGGTGGGTATGCAGTAAGCGGTAAATAGATCTTGGCTTTTTCGGCAAAGCGGAAAATAAAAGAGCGGGCTGGGGAATTCTGGGATTTGAAGTCTACAAGTCTTTAAAATGGCCAAGGTTGGAGACACCCCCTCGGTTTAAAGCGTGAAACAGAGACAGCTGGGTATGAATGGCTGTGGATAGAGAAACCCCCCTCCCACTTCCTCTTTGTGCAACCTCCCCCCGCCCGGCCCCCGGCCCCTTGTTGGCTCTGTCCCCCAAGCCTGGCCATTTTTCAGCTTTGCAAACGTTGTAGTTGTGATTAATTGTGACGAGTGACCACAAACCTCTTTCCTTCTCTTCCCCCCTGTTTTCAGTACAAACTGCCATGTTTCTGGGCCTGTTTATAATGTTGGCTACGTGTGAGGTTTTTTTTTTTTTAAAAAAGTATTATTATTTTTTTTGGTACACCCACTCCCCCCACCCCTCTTTCTCTCTCCCCTCCACCCCGGCCTTTCCTCTCCCCTTCCTCTCCCCCCCCCAAAAAAAAGGAGGAAACAGCTATATCCTGTCTGTGTACAACGATTGCTCTTCCTGGGGGCAAAAGGAAATATTTTTTGGAAGAAGAAAAAAGGGAGAGAAGAAAGATGGACCTCTGCAAACTGTTGGGGAGGGGGGAGCAAAGCATGGATGGGGGTCTTGGCAGGAGAATCCTGTAGTCCAGATGCCCTGCTGGGGGGGGCGGGGGGGGGAAAAGGGGGGGGGGGGGGCTGGCGTGGGAGGGCAAGGATGACCTGGCTGGGGAAAAGATCAGGAATGGGGCAAAAGTGAGAAATTTGGGAAGAACTCCTTAGTTTGGAGGGATGACGGAGCAAGGATATTTCACTTCCATCCTCTCCTTCTAAAGCTGGCCTGGGGGGGGGGCGGGGGTTAATCTGGGGAGAAGAGGGGGGGGACATCTTAAAAAATGGAGCCACAGGGTTAGAATGGGGGAGGGAGGGAAGTCCCTCGACGCATCGTCTTCCATATATAGTCTAGGACGGGTGTCGGCAACTGCAGCTCTAGAGCCGCATGGGGCTCTTTGGGCCGTCCGCTGTGGCTCCCTGTTGGGTGGTCCCACCACTGGCTTGGCCTCGCCCCTTGTCCTCCCCTCCCAGTCACTCCTTGCCTGGCCTGAGAAAAGGAGACACCGGAAGCCACAAAACCTGGGTAGGCGTGGCTAGGACGTGTGTCATGTGACTGGGTGGGAGTGACCTTGAGTTGGCCACCGCCCACCCAGGTTTTGTGGCTCCCAATGGCTTTCTGTGGGAAGCGGGTCCAAGTGGCTCTTTTGAGTGTTTTTTAAGGTTGCAGACACCCTGTTCAAGGAGAAGAGCAGTCTATGGGAGGAGGACCCCGTGCCTCTTCTCAAACCAGCTTTTATTCAGATTTGACAGACTTTTTGGGGGCGCGTGGAGGGGCTCTGATGATATTTTGGGGGGGTGCGTGAGGGAGGAAGGGAAGGTGGGTCGAGGGGAAGCAAGGTGCAGATTGTGAATCCGTCAGCAATTGTGCGTTGAAGAACTTGCATGGGGGAACCTTTCTTTGATGGGCTTTGCAACCCTTTCGGGGTGTCATTTGTGCTGAAAAAGAAACTTTGGAATGAAACGATTTTAGTCTGAAACGGGGCCCCTGAGATCCTCAGATCGTGTCATCGATAAAAGTCACTTTAAGGCGACGTGGGAACTTCAACTCCCAGAATTCCCCCACAAGCCTGCGAGTTAAAGGAACACACCCCGCAGAGCTGGCTGGGGGGATTCTGGGAGTTGAAGTTCCCGCGTTGTCTTTTTTAAAGTGGCTAAAGTTGAGAAAATATCGGAATAGAGAGAGGTGTACAGGGGTGTTTTTGAGGGGAGTTGGGGGGAGGGAGGAAGAGAAGGGGCTGCCCCCTCTCCAGTTGGCCATCAGGTGTCACTTGCCCAAAGAGAATTTTAAAAAAAGAGGATAAAATGGATCCCAGCCCAAAATTGAAGCAGACAAGACAGACATCATCATCGGTGAGAAGGAAGTT